TTGAGAATTTACATCTGCCAAATATTCTTCTAGGTAGGTAATCTTTTCTACTAAAATTCAGTGTATAAAAATTTGTTCAGTTATAGGCTCAGAGATAATTCAGTATTACCATTTTTAATCATAATGCTAGAGCTTAGCATTTTATAATTTTGTGTATATAGGTAAGAATAGTCTCATGTTACAGAACCTTCATGATTTTTGTTGTTAGGTATTAACTTGTCATCAAATTTGTTAATTTGTTGCCATGCACTGTTGTATATATCACTATAGCAGTTTTAAGTGTGGTAAAACATTAATTGAAATGCCATTCTTTATAAATGTGATAATTTAGACAAGTGATCACTTTTATTCTGTACCCTTCAAAGTGCCTGCTAAATAGTAATGGAAATAAATATAGAGATTATCAATTCTCACTGATATTTAAGCCTCCTTTTAAGTTTTAATTCACGTGTTCTTAACCTGTAGTTCACAGACACATTATAGTTGCTTTAGATATCCTGAAATATCATTTATGCTTATTAATACTTCACAACTATGGTTATTATTAGACTCTCCACTAGTCTTACTGTCTTAAAATGAGCATATATATTTTGACGAACACATAGTTTAAAGAAATCACATATAGTGCTATATCACAAATGTTTTTTATAACATTTTTATAATTGTATTTCAATATAATTGGTTTCCTTTGAATCATATTAATTTTGTTTTATATATATATATATATATATATATATATATATATAAGTATTATTATGAGAAGGCATGCATAGGCCTCATCAGACTCTTGAAGGGGACTGTGGCACAGAAAAGGTTAAGAACTCATAGTTCTCCTCATTATATGCATGTAAATGTACAAACCTGATAATAGCCACTTATAAATTCAGACAGTTTCCCCTTGAAATTTTACTCTAGCTGTTTCTCCTATGCATTGACTTACATTGTTAGGCAACCAGCGACTTCTTCCCCCATGCTTTCATTCTTCTTTCTCTGTCTCAAATGAAGTTTCTGCATACCTCTGCCTTCACTTGTTGTGCCTTGATGCTTTGGAGGATTATAGATCCTCAGGCGCAGTTTGTCTGCGTCTCCTCATGATTATATTCAGGTTATGCATCTTTGGCAAGAATATCTTGAACACTGTGTTCTTCTCATTGCATCCTGTGGTAGTGTGTATAGTTTTTATTTGCCCCATTACTCAAAGTGTTCCCTTTAATCACTTAATTAAGGTGATATCTGACAAATTCCTCCATTGTAAAGTTAGCTTTTTCTCCTTCTGTAATTAGTAAGTATTTTTATGGGATGTACTTTGAAACTATGTCAATATTCCATTTATCATCAAACTTTTATTTATTTTTAAATTTATATGTATTGGACTTATGATTTATAATTTTAATTCAGTAGGTTTTAATGTTATCCTCATTATTTATTTTGATGCTTGGAATTTCCCTGATTTGGCCCCTTCAAACAACTTCTGTATGTTTTTGACATGTCCCCATCATTCTTGGAGGACTTCCTTTCCTTCTGACACAAGAGGATTTCTTGGCTCCTCTTTTTATGCACTTTATTTATGCCAGGGTTGGAGTTAGTCATTTCTTCAAGACTCTCAGTTAAAAATCACATACACATTTTAATAAAAAGAGTTACTGAGTGAATACTTTAAAATGGCCTGGATTTATCTGGAAGAGTTTTCTCAGGTTGATAAATTTTAGGCTAAAGCTTGAAAGATAATGGATGAGGTTTGGTAAAGAAATAGCAGCTGAACATGAAGGAAACAAAGTCAGCAATAGGAAATACAATAGTCCTCCCTTATCCATGGTTTTTCTTTCTGTGGTTTCAGTTACCCATGGTCAGCTACTGTCTGGAAATATTATTAATAAATGGAAAATTCCAGAAATAAACAATTCATAAGTTTTAAATTGCATGCTGTTCTGAGTAGCATGATGATATCTTCTGCCATCCCACTCCATCCTGCTCGGGATGTGAATCATCTGTCCCTTTGTCCAGTGTATCCATACTGTAGACACTCCCCACCACTGAGTCACTTAGTAGCCGTCCCAGTTATCAGACTGAAAAAACATACTAAATATAGGCTTTGGTACTGTCTGTGGTTTCAGGCATCCACTGGGGGTCTTGGTCTTGTCCTCTGCAGACAAGGGGGGCTACCTTAGACTAATTTAGGTAAGGCGGGAAGGCTTATTTGGAGCTTAGGAAAGTTATGGTTGAAGAAAACATTAGGGGAGCAAGTGTTCAGTTCTGTGCTAATGAGTGCAAATTTTATAGAAGAGGAAAGAGTAATTGTGTATGTTCTTAAGCATGGAATGATAACTGATACAGTCTATATGTGAAATATACTGAAATTCAAAATGTTTAGAAGCTCATGATATCCTGATATTTCTATGACGTAAGCACCAGGTAACGTGGTGCTTTTGAAGGGAATGGCGACCGCAGAGCTTTCTGCAGTTGTTCTTTGAGGTCGATACATCCAGTTAACACACTACTAGAGTGCAGTTATTCAGTGTTCTGCTTCTTAAATGTACATGTTACTGTTATTTTATTTTTGTTTCAATTTTTTTCATATAACACGGGTAGAGTAAATAAGGAGAATGAGGGAGGTTCTGATTGCGGGCTGCAGATTAAAGTAGCCAGCTTTGAAGTTTCGGGCAGGATCACTGGTATGTGCTTGTTGTTGAATGCAGTCTGCTTCCTCCCCTCATTCGGATTGGCGAAGGCTTTTTCCTCATAGTTATTGCCATTTATGATTTTAATGTCTTACTGCATAGTAATTGCTTAGTCATTCAGCGATCCTTTTTATTGCTTCTTGGAAGCCTTTCAGGAATAATTGTAAATTTTTGTCACTATTTACATTGTTGGTAGTGTGGGGGGAGAGGTTGTATATAGTTCTTATCTTTACCTCTTTCTCTCAGCTTAGCTGTTGATATTCATCCCTTAGTTTTGCTCTGCATTGGAGATCGTGAATAACAGTTACCTGGGAAGTAAAAGCCAAGTGAATGTAACACAGATTACTTGAGTTTATTTGTTGAGTGGGAAAACAAGGGGGGGTGATCATAACCTTTCCTTCGAGCATTTTCTCTTCATCTTCTTTGCTTTTTCTCTTCTTTCACTCACCTTTTCACCTACCTGCTTTCTGTAGGTGATATTCGTTCCTGTGATTTCAAATTCTGTCTGTACCTTGACAACTCCAAAATACTTAGAGTCTCCCAGACCTCTCTCCTGGGCTCCAGACCTGTGTATCCAGCTTCCAACTTGATTATCTACACTTGGGCGCGACAGTAACTTGTCCGAAACTCAGCTTGTGACTCCTGCTCCCCTACCTCTCCCACAGCAAACCTGCTCATCCTTAACCACCCCTGTCCACCCGACACTCGTGTCTCATTCTTGGTATCTTTCTGTCTTTCCCTTACCCATAATCCAGTCTATCGCCCAGAATTTTTTGATTCCTCTTCCAAAATATTTCTCAGATGTTTCCATTTCTCGACGGTCTCTGCCATTGCCCTAGTCCAGGCTGCTGTCATCCCTTGCCTGGACTACTCTGGCAATATTCTGATTTCTCCCTGTACTTTTTGTATCTTCCAGCTTCTTTGTATGTAGTGGTCACTTTCTTGCTTAAAAGCCTTCAGCTGTGTCCCAGGTGTGTGGAATATATCCATCATCGTGTCCTGGGGTCCCGCATGAACCATCCATGCCTTCCCTTACTCTTTCAGCGAGTCCCACTCTCATTGTTATTCTTACCATTCTGGCTGCACTGACTGGTCTTTTAATTTTTGGAATAGTGCTTCTAAATTAGCTATGGCAAAGGACCAGTTTTTATTTTCCACTTTGGTCTGAGTTGCTACTTGAATAAAAATATGATAAGAATGAAGTACTATAAAAATGGAAGAAGGGACCC